GGGAACCCAGCACAGCTGGTTGCCTCTCTGAAATGTCTGTGTTCTCATGCAGACAGCATGGAATGCAAAGAAGAGGAATTACATGTATGCATGCAGCTTCAAAGTTATGATTTCATTGATGGTGTGAAGATAGGATAGGACAGCTCATATTCAATCACCCTGATATCTACTGGAGGGATAGTGTAGCTTGCTTATGTGTCGGGTTGGGTGTGAGCAGTTCAGGAGGTTTCTGGAATGTGTTGATCTCACACCTGCAAACAAAGAATTATTTGGGGATCTGGAGGCTGAGGGCAGCCTTGTGGCACTGGCTAGGAGATGATAAAGTTCAGGATCTGGAGAGGAGATAGGCAGAAAGCAGGATTGCAAGCCCAGACTTGAAGAGCAAAGACTTTGACCTGTTCAGGACTCTGAAACTAGTAGGAAAGTCCAGGGCAAGGTAAACCTTTCCTCAGTGGAAGAGAATCAGGTTAGGGAATATTTAAACAAACTGGTCACATGCAAATCCATAGCCCTGTGTGGTATGTGCTGAGGGAGCTGATACTGGGAGGTCCCTCTTGATGGTCTTCAGAAAGTCACTGTGATTAGGAGAGATTCATTAAACCCAGGAGATTGTACCTCCTGTCTTCAGGAAGAGCAAGAAGCCTCTTTTGTTATGTGAAAAACTACAGGCTGGTCAGCCCCATGTGAACCATTGAAAGATGATGGGAAAAATAATCCTGGAGGCGATTTCCAGAACACAAGAAGGACAAGAAGATGGCTGGGAGTAGTCAGTGTGGATTTATGAAAGGGAAGTCATGTCTGAACCATCTGTTAGTCTTCTGCCATAAGATCACTGGCTTGGTGGAGTGAATATTGTTTATGTTGACTTCAGCAAAGCTTTTGTCACTGTCTCCCATAGCTTGAGAAAAGGCTGGGGTGCAGTAGAGGTGGGTGATAAAAACTGCTGGAATGCCAGACTGAAAGGGCAGCACGAGGTGCAGCTGCAGGCTGGGCACTGGCAGTGGTGCCACAGGGGTGGGTAATGGGGCTGCTGCTGCTCAGGGTCTGCACTAATGACCAGGAGGAGAGGGCAGAGAGGGCTCTGAGCAAGTTGGCAGGTGCTGCAGAATGGCAAGTGCTGGACTCCCCAGAGGGTGATGGTGCCGTTCCCAGAGGCCTCGAGAGGCTGGAGAAAGAAAGGGGCTGACAGGATGCTGATGAGCAGAGGGCAATGCCAAGTGCTGCATCTGGAGAGGAATAACCGCAGGCACGAGTCCAGGCTGTGCCTGGGTGTCTGGGAAGCAGCTTTGTGGAGAAGGGCCCAGGGATCCTGGAGGCCATGAGGCAGCAGCGTGTGCTTGTGGCAGGGGCAGCTCCTGGCTCCCTGGGCTGTTTCAGGCAGAGTGCTGGGAGCAGGAGGAGCCGTGTGATCCTTCTGCCTTTGTCCTTTCTGCTGAGGCACCTGCGGAGTTGTGTGTCCAGTTCTGGGCTCTCGGGTACAAGGGAGATGGAGAGAGCAGAGCGAGTCCTGTGCAGGGCCATGAAGGTGTTTGAGGGATTGGAGGCTGTGACATCTGAGGAGAGTCTGGAAGAGATGGGACTGTTCAGTCTGGAGAAGAGCAGGCTCTGGCTGATCTTACTGATGTGTCTGAAAGCATTTTTAATCTTAAGGGTGTTCCAACACTGGAATTTCCATCCTTAGAGATACTCAGAACATGGCTGCATACGCCCCTGGGCAGTCTGTGCTTTAGCTGTTTCTGCACTAAATATGGGGATTGGTCTAAAGAGATGCATTCTAACCTCAAAAACTGTGTAATTTAGGCAGTGGTTAGTGCTTTATACTGCTTGTGCAAGCTGATAATAAATGAAGGACCTATTGGTGCTGTCCTAGAACTTGTTCTGCCTAACATATTTATTAGGTACTGGAGAAGGCAGTGGAGTTCACTCTTCTCTTATCTGTGATTTCTACCAAATTGGTGGAAGAGTTCATGTGTTAAAGAGTGAAGGGGCCTAAATCTAGAGGAGCTCTGATTGTCTAGCTTGGAGAAGAAAAATTGAGAGATCCTAATAGCAGCCTTACAAAGCTTACAAGTAGGTTACCAAGAAGATGGAGTTACTGCACAGCAGTACACAGTGGGGCAACAAGACCAATGGGTGAAAACTAATACAAGAAAGGTTTTGGTTTGTTTTTTTTCCTCTACATTCTACTGGAGCCTTTTTCCCTGTCAAGCAGTGGAGCAGATTCTCCTGCATGCCCTGCCTGACTCTGTAGGAGGAGGTTGGAGGATTTCAAGAACCATGTGGGCAAAGCCTTGAGCAACCTGATTTGATGTCAGAGCTGGTCCTGCTTTGAACAGAAAACTGAACTAGAGATGTGAATTCCCTCTCAGCCTGAATGACTCTGATTTTTCACTTAAGTTTTGCTGATTAATTTTTCGTGTTCTGTTTGCATGTCAACTTATAATGTGTGGTGCCACTCTTTCTTTTTTGCTGTTCATTATAGTTTAGCAGGCCTCTTGTAAACAGGTTTTACAATGGTTTTTGACTTCACAGCAGAAGTAATAGAGGAATATTATAAGCCATAAACTTCTAGCTGGTATGTATCCAGAAGTCAGAACACTGCTTTAGCTATGACTTGCAGGCTCTGGAGGAGGGATGGAGATATTCAGCATTGTGACTGTGTGACATTTTGGGGGTGGAAAGAAGTAACTCTGCTTTCCTGTCAACTTAATTCAGTTTAGTATGCAGGGTTTGTTATTCAGGCAGAACCTTTTTGCTGCCTGTGGTGTAATGGTTTTGCTTTGTGAGCTGGTATTGCCTGTTTGCAGGCTACAGCTTGCAGGGTTTACAGGCACAGTCATTTGTGCAGAAAGCAGATGCTTCTTATTCGTTCTTACTTTGTTTCTATGGTTGAAGTGCTGAATGTTTGGTGGAAGGTCTTGGGACAAGCTTTTCCACTGAAGAGAACAGGAATAAGGTTTACAGATATGACTGTCCCAGACCTTACCAGTCTGACCAGTAAATGTTTGATGAACCATTAAATATAACCATGACTTCAATATTGAAGATGTATTATTTTTGATTCTCTGAAGGAATTTTGCTGTCTGACTGCCTCAATTCTCTACAGAGACTTCCTTGTGAGTGCTTTCAAGGGATGGAGAGACCTCTTGGGAAAAGACAGACATCCTATATAATAAGCAATTCTGACAACAGGCATTCAGAGCAGTAGAAGTATTTCATCTTAGATGCATAATCACAAGTGAAAGTAAATCTTCTCTCTTTGAAACCCTGTGAGGGCATGTTCATGAAGCAAAGCTTTGCATTTCTATATAAACAACAGTGGAAGTCATCATGATGAAAAAAATTGTTAAATACTTTTTAGGTTGATAATGATGTATTTAGCAAGGTGGTTGGAGTGGCTTGGGATGCTTATGAATTTGAAAACCTTTCCTTATTTATTCCTGTATAAAATAAAATTATTTGTAAGCCTTGTGAACAAAAGGTAAAACTTTGTCCAAGAAATAAAAATAAACTTTGTAATGCTGCCAGAATAAATATTGCTGAAGCATCACAAATTGATTTCCTTTAAAAAAAAATAAAGAAAATGCATGTTGCCTTGACCATAATGGGCTTTCTTGTATGTTTTTTCCCTTTGGCCTCTCTTTTAGCAGTTACCCACAGAACGTTACCATTGCATGTTGCCTCTTTGATGTACTCTCTTGGTTGAGCTGAATATACTACTTTCACTGAGAATATATGATTGCATTGGTGTTTTCTTATGCCTTTGGAAGGCAGGAAAATGTAAATGTGGTTAATAATGATACATACGTTTGTTTCTCTTTTAGTGGAGGCGATAGTGGAGTTTGACTACAAAGCTCAACACGATGATGAGCTGACAATCACTGTAGGTGACATAATCACCAATATCAAGAAAGATGATGGAGGCTGGTGGGAAGGACAGCTCAAAGGCAGAAGAGGTTTGTTCCCTGACAACTTTGTAAGAGTGAGTACAAAGTGGAACTGTTCTTGTGTTGTGTACAAGCTTCATGTACTGTGCTGTTCAGGCTAAATATCAGCCTTTACATCATAACATCTCTTATATCCAAAACCATAGTGTATTGTACATATACAATATACTGTATATATATATATAATGCAATGGTCTATTGATACAATGTTGCAAAGAAAAGATTACTTTCTTTGCAGAGACAAGCTGAAAGTAAAAGAAGCTACCCTTATATTTGTCTGCTGTTCAGTGAAAATATTTGACTTCGTGGTCTGAGAATAAAGTGGTTATTCTAGAACAATTTATAGGGCATTGCATTTTAAATATTTTGTCTTCTCTGTAACAGATTCTGCTTTTCCAGAATGTTTTCTTAGGTTTTATAGAAGCTTTTTTGGTGAATATTTATTCCTGGCTAAACTAATTTAGAATAATTAGATTTTTCCGTAAAGTTGCCTATAAAAACTTCAAAAAAAACCCCATTAATTTGTATTCATTTAATATACCAAATAACTTGCAATAATCCTTGTTTTAGGACAACTATTCAGAGGTTTAGAAAGAAACTAGGTTTTGGTTTTTTTTACTGGGCATCTGTGTTTGCACACGTGTCTGCACATATGAAGCCAGCTATTAGTACCTCTGGGCCTCCTTGATTTTTCATTGGAGACTTAGGCTGTTAATTTCCATAAATCTCCATAAACCTGGCTCTCCACTATGGAAAAGAGACCAAGAACTAGAGTAAATTGCATAAATAGATTATATGTTAACCTTTTAGTACAGCTTCTGAGGAGCTTTGGTACTTTCCCTTATCTAAGGTTATAAGTGTCTTTTTTTTAACTTCTTCTGACTGTGTATGCCTGTTGTGTGTTTAGACATATGGACATAATGAAGTAATTTCATTTTCTTTCATAGTGCTGCATATGTTGAGGTAACTGGGGGGAGTGGTCTGGTAGTGAGTTTAGCCAGCCCATGGCAGGGGGTGTGGGGGTGGACACAGGAGCCTCAGGTGTTTCTGTGGGGGTGAACATACACCTGATCCTTGCTCCTGCCATTGGCAAGGAGAAAGAGCAGCTCTGTGTGTGTCAGGCAGCAAAAATTAGGAGCAAGCCAGGGCCTCAGTGAGATGAAAGGGCATGGTGGAGGACAATGAATAATCTGTTTTTTGCTTATCTCTGAAAATACACACTTTGAGCTGGGGAAAGAAACTGTTTTGGTATTCATTGTGTATTGGTAATATTTTTCTGCTTGAACTCTGGTGAACTGAACTGTGGGACAAATGCAGACATCCTCTAGGCTTTTTCCTGGCTAGTTTTTTAAATCTGCTGCTGATTTTAGGAGGTGTTGGATTTAGTGTTCTAAACAAATGCAGCCTATGAATGTCTGTATGGGAATATAATAATCTAAAGATTTGTATGTTGACACCATTAGTACCTAATTTTAAGGCTTCTTCTTTCCAAAATGACTTTAGACTGTGGCATCCTGTCACATAATTGAAATATAAATAGCTTTCTCTCAATAGAAAGTTCTAAAACGACAGTAAATTGTTTAGATTTTGTCTTCTCATGAAATACCACTCCCTGCCCTTTCCTTCCTGCCTTTTTCTTTTTTTTAATCGTCATCCAAGGGTGTTTTCTAAACAACTAAAAACCACATTGTGCTCAAGCAGAGAATGAGGAAGAATTTAAAGTCAAATATGTTTTTCTTAGCCAAACATTTTCTCTCTAAACGAGGTAAGACGGAGTAGAAGATACACACTTACTTAGTTTAATAATTTCTTGAGTGAAAACATTTTTTTTGTGTAATTCTCCTGTATGGAGAGCTACAGTCAAAACATCAGTCCCATTAGAAAGCTTGTTGAGCATAATCACTCTGCCCAGTAAGATTATAAGTAATTATGAATTTTCTCTTAATTACGGAAAATTTTAACAAGTGAATGCAGTGTTGGGCTTACCAGCAGTCAGTTCATGCCCCATTGGCAAAGTTTGTGTCAACAAAGTAATTGAGAAGCTGCAAAAAGGGATGCTACAGACAAGTAATGGACTTGAATGAGACTCCAAATTCCTATTTCTTATCACAATTGGTTCTAAGAGTAGTTGAGAAAGTTATTCAAAGGTTAAAAACTACAAATTAAATTCTTGAGGTTCTTTGTGTTCTACCTCCAAAAGGTAAGAGTAATTTCTTATTGAGAAGAGCTTTTCCTTCATGTGATTTTATTTTCTTTTGAATAAACTAATGATGATGTTCCAAATAAACTGTTGGAGTTTTCAGAAGTTGAATGTTTGGGCTGAAATGAAATAATGGCATTAACACTGTTAAGGGTATTAAATGGTTTCTGTTACTGTTTCTGGAAGTGGAGTTTGTAAGAAAAGAAGTAGAAATCAGAAATGGAAAAATTAGGGAATTGCAATATAATGGAATGTTTATGAAAATACATTGATTTGAAATGTTACTTAAGAAATAAATTTTCAAGGGAATGTGAAATAGGTAGTGAATGTGCAAAAGAATTCTGGAGTTGCCTCTAGTAAAAGCGTAAGTAAAAGTAAATTTCTTGGAATAGATACAAATTAGGAGACCATTGAAGAGGAGTTGCCTGAAGATAGATGTGAGACAGAAAAAGGAAAGGGGAGGTAGCAATGATATACGTGAAGTACATACGCAGTTATTTTTTTTCAAGGGACTTTCTCTACCAAGTTCTAGCAGAGGTGCTTCCTGTTCTTGAATCTACAAAACAACTGCTCTGAATTTTTTTGTATATTTATACATATAGCAACGAAAAAGACGGATTCATACCCTTCTTATGCTCTGAAATTCAATATGCAAGGCTTACCAGAAAAGGTATTTGAGATTTGTTTTTGCATTTCTTTTTTCATTGCCTAGTAGTCTGAGGTTGTGGCTGCTCGGAAGATTTTGACGAAGAAGTTTATTTAAATATCTTTAGTCTCTCTAAGATCTACCTTACCTCTGTCAACACTTGAAGATGCCAACTTTTGTTAGAGATAACGGTGCTGAATGTATCGTAAGAAATGTATGAAAGTGTATCTGGTTTTCGTCTTCTGTTTTCTTTTAGTTTTTCAGGCAGAGAAATAGAAGTAGGAATGGAGAATTATGTACTGTTCCTGGTGTCTGTTTTAATTCTCGGTTATGCAGCTGACAAAGAGGAGGTATCAGGTGTGACTGCAGTGTTGTTCATTTATATGATATAAAGTTGGTTTTCAATATCTTTCTAGCTTGAAAACTTCAACTTGAAATCCATGCTCTGCGGTGAAAAACTGTGTTTGTAAGTGTGATGGCATCTGAGACAGATTTTGCTGATAGCAGATGAAGATGTAGCAAGCAGGAAACTGGTGCAGAGCCATGTTTGCTGGCTTTAATTTTCAAAGTCTATTCTATGTGGGATTGAATAGTGTTGTACTGGTAAACTGAATCTACTGCATGTAATCTGAAAGCTTCTCTGTACTCCAGAGGACTTGCCAATATTACTAGCAGAATTGGAGAGGTAAATTTATCTTAAGAAGTATAGTGTAGTTTTTGAAATTCTGGTGTATAGCTTGTGTTTTAGAACCAGTGAAACGGGGCGGGGATTTGGGTAACTGTACTGCTGCCTCAGGTCAGTAAAGCAATCTGGATTTCTTGTTATGCAAGCAGAATACAGTCTCTAAATAGTGCACATTAGTTGTAGGATGCCAAAGATGTTCACGCTGAATCATAGGTACATGGTTCAGGCCCTTATCTGTTGCTTGTCATTTAATTTTCTTCTCTGTATGGTTTATTTGTTTTTATCACACCAGCCAGAGGTTGTGGGGGGATTATGAATGATTTCTTGCTGAGACTTTGTGCTTGTTACACACCCCTACCTATCTCTGTTCATGCTTCCGTGAAATTTTTATAAAACATGAAAAGGTCCTGTGCCCATGCAGGGGCCCTTTGCAGCTTAAGTTTGGCTCCTGGGGAGGGAAAGAGAGTATTTCACTTATCTGAGAACATTTTGGATCCTGCAGTGTTTTCTGCTTCCCCAGCTGCTGCTTGGTACCTGCCAGGGCAGAGAGCTGACTAACTGCTGATGTCCTTCCCGGCTGCTTTGCCACAGCCTTTTGCAATCTCTGGCACCTCTGTGACTTCCTGCCCTTGCTCTGGGGTTTGTAGGTTCTTAGGGCCTTCACTGCTCTCCTCAGCAGTCTGGCCACTGTCGATTAAGTGGTGGCTAGGTCAGCTTTGCCTCAGCAGCCACTGGTTGTGGGTTCAGTCCCCATACATTTGAGTGGCCACTGTCTTAAGAGTTGGACTTGATCCTTGTGGGTCCCTTCCTACTCAGAGTATTCTGTGATTCTGGGAAAGTTGTGGCATTAGCAGAGGCACTGAGGTTATATGCACACTAGGAAAATTATTTCTGTCTGTACCTGAAAAGGTAACTTGCTTTATGGGTCAGTGAACTGCTACACTGGGGCATTTTTGGTTTTTTGTTGTTTTTTTTTTTTTTCCTCATTTTGGCAGGAGTTTGCAACTCAATTGACGAGTTTTTCTTTCATTGTTTTTGGAAATCTTACTAGATAATTGTTTTCTGGAATTGCTTTAGATTGTGGGATACTAGCTGAATGAGAGTCAGGAGTAATAGCTTCTTATTCCAAGTTTTGGGTATGGCCATTAAACTTGTTATGGTGAAATTCAAGAGAATATAATCATATGATAATGTTGTCTCTGAGGTTTTGCTCCTGTCAACAGCAGTCAAGTTTTGTGAGGAGAAATGTGACGTCACAGGCTGTTATTTGTTATTGCTGTTGTCATTACTCTTACAATGATGATAGCAAAACTAGTAAAACACCGTCTTCCTCCCTCTTCCAGCCAGTTTCCTCACAGAGACACAGACTGACCAAGATTGTCTTGTGCCAGTCAATAGTCTGTGTCACTCCTGTCAGGGAATTGAGCACAGAGCAGTGACAGCACTCTGGGCTGTCCTGGATGCCCAAGGTGTGATTGCAAAGGATGTCACACCTCAGCCTGCTCATCTGCATTCAGAAGGAGCTCCAGTGAGGCAGCTGCCCTGTGTGTTTGGTCTGGAAGTGATTTGAAACTCCCTGGCAGTGAGGGAGGCCCTTTCCCATTCCGTGTCCCAGGGAACTGGAGCTCTTCCCGGGCGGTGGAAGCGGGCCATGCTCGCTGCAGGATGGATCCCGTATGCCCATCATGGGAGCGAGTGTGGATTTGGATGTCCTGGGGTGACCAGTTTGTTGGATATGTTTTGATGGCAGGATTTGAGGGGAGGGGTTACTCAGGGGAGTGTGGGATTGTGGAAAAGAGGAAAAACGGTGGTGGTTTGGGTCTGTCAGCTGTTGGCTGTTTCGTGGGAATTGGCCTGCAAATATTTCATGAAATATGTGAAAGTAAAAATATGTGCAGCAGTCGTGTAGTGAGCACACAGTAATGTGAAGCTTCAGTGTTCAAGTATTTACTTGATGTTGGTGACTAGTACATTATATTGCAAAAAAGTAACCTTCTGAAAAGACAGTGGCTTACTTGTAATTATATACTGATAGGATTGATAGAAATTCTGCCATGGATCCAGCTCCTCCCATGGCAGGAGGGTTTGAGCTAAATGATCTTTAAGGTCCCTTCCATCCTCTAACCATTCTGTGATTTTATGAAATTTATGAATTTGAAAACAGAGTTTATTGTTTTGCATTCTTTATGCAGTGTAATTGCTGAGGTCTAAAACCGTTCTTATTTAAATATGCATAATACTGCTTACTGATAGAGTTAATATAGGTAGTATTAATTTATATACAAAGGAGACTTAATTATTTCCTCTTCTTGCCCAGGTTGGTTTTTGTAGTCTTAAGAAAACCTCAGTAGAGCATTCCAGTTTAAAATATGCTGTTTTTTAAATTGTAAATTTCCAAAACCCTAATTTGGGCTAAAAGGGAAATAAATATATTTTTTTTCTTTCTTCCCTTCCTGAAGCTCCAAGTCATGAGGAGAATCTGATCAGAGATTGAAGCAAGAACCCAATGTGCCATCTAGAAGTCATCTTTTCAAGTATATAATTTCTTTGGAGCTATAATACAATAATTCTTTAAGGTAGCTTCAATTTACTCAGAGCTTAGTTATTATTTGAAGTTTGTGTTATACAAAGAATTCAATGTGGTTTTGGCAGTAGCCTCTTGAAGTAGTCATAAGGATTTATAGAATTAGCAGGATTGGATGGTTCACTGCATTTCTCCAACCTAGTCCTAAAAGCTTGTGGGGCAAAGAGAAGGTGTCCTAAACTTATATTGTGTCTTCCCTGAAATCAGTTTTCTTTTTTTTTTTTTTCTCCCCTCTGGCAACCTTACAAGCTCCGGATGTTTTTATTTTCTCTGTAGATTGTGTGTGGGTGGATATGTTAGCAATCCATGTATTTTGGTCTGATTCATTTTCACACTTGGCCTGGCAATTGTTTTCCTGTTGGAGGAGGCTGCTGTGAGAAACTCTTCTCTGTAGGTAGGATCTGTAGAGGTTCTCAGCAGTATTTGCATACAAATGTCTTGCAAAACATACTTCTACAGTTTTGGATTTGAAGAGAGTAGTACAGCTGTGTATCTGATTTTTCCTGACAAGACCAAAAACCTCATTAAAATTCTTAAAACACAAGCTCCTAGAAATTGAATTGCAGTTTGGTCTCACTGCTGTTTGAACCTAACGTGAGAATACTTGTCAATACTTCCACCTTCTTTGCAGTTTAATTACAAAGTCCTCGGATGGATTCCCTCAAGTTTAGGAAATAGTTTGTGGCTTTGATGGTTTTTAATATTTGTTTGCAAAAAAGGGTCTAAGAGAAGCAGTGTTCTGAAAGCCTGTGGAGTACTTGCAACATTTAATAACCATAATGGTGAAAGATTGTGATTCAGCCTTAGTCTGCCAAATAGTCCATTTACATAGAATAATACAGCCTGTATCCAGACTTCATCTATTGATTGTCTTTCACTTTATATTACTCAAGTGTTAACAGTAAGTAAGAATGAAGATGAGAGCAACAGGGATATGTAGAAAAAAAGCTATCAGAGATTGCTGCTCTAGTTACTGTGCTATGACTCAGTGTTACTCTTCAGTTCTGATCAAACACTGTAATTTATTAACAGTAAATATGTGTGCATATGTGGGGTTTGTTTAGTAGTGTTGATTTTAAATTTCTTTGGTTTTCCATTATTGTATTTGGGGTTTACTTCTATGTACAGAAGTGCTATTTTTTCTGAAGTATCATATGTGGACCATATAACAGTTTTCATGTTTTTATAAAGTGAATATCAGCTGGAATGACAAACTACTTGCACTGTTTGCTGTTGGAAGTAGTATTTGACTAATTAGGTATCTTTGTATTCCCTTCCTATAAGTGCTGCAATTTCCTCCTAGACTCTTTTGGGAACTGTTTGAGAAGCTGGTGGTGAAGACAGTCCTTAAAAGGTCTGCCATTTCCTGCTGTCACCTAATTATGTACTCTACTAGAATTTCACTGGCACTGTGAGGAAAAAATAAAATTATAGTATGCCAGAGTATATTAGAGCAGTTTATGTTTATGAGCAGAGAACATGTTGTTCTCTTCAGAGCTGGAAAGACCCCAGTGTATGTAAGCCTCTAAATCCTCATTTTTTTTGGCTTTGTTACAGCCATATGAAATATATCATTGTTTATATATAGACAGTCTAGTTATTCAGTTACCATGGAAAAAGTCAAAGGTGCAGGTAAACGACCATCATGTAATAGGATGGGTTATTTATTCACTCTGACTTCAGACTTCTTCAGTGATGGATACTTAATGCCAGTGGTTGTGACGGGAGGTGGTGAGGGATGGAGGGAAAACGAGT